ATTCTCTGGCCAATGCAGGAGATGTGGGTTCTATCCCTGGGTTGGGAAGATCCCCTGGAGAAGGGCATGGCAACCCACTCCAGTATTCTTGCCTAGAGAATCCCATGAGCAGAGGAGCCTGGTGGGCTACAGTCCATGGGGTCTCAAAGAGTCAGAAACTAAGCAACTGAGTGTGCACGAACATGCGTAAAATACTATGTAAATGTACTGCATTGTATTAGTCCCTAATACCACTCACTATCATTTAGTGTAGTGGATTAGATATGCCCATAAAATGCTATATAAGTACTGTGGGCTAACTGCACCACTGGAGGACTGCCCCATCAAACGCTGAACTCTAGACCCAAGTAAATGTACTTAGATTGGGGCACTGAGGGCAAGGGAAAGAAAAAACCGATGACAAGCGAAGTGAAGATTTTCACAGGCATTTGAAAATATGTGACTGACACTAAGGAGAGAAACCCAAGTGTGGAGAGAAAAGATTTGGAAACTAGGGATGGCTGTTGAGAGTGACTTCTCAAAGCAATGTATCTCCATGGGGGACTGGGTTGGAGGAAGCTATCCGAGTCTTGAACAATATTATATTTAGAACATAGAACTTTTGACTGGCTTTCTGATGTAGATCTAAAAATGCTTAGCTGGGCCAAATATTTTTGGCTGGTGGAAAATGGATAAAAACTACATATCAGTGATTGTATAATTGGAGGGATGAGGATCACACCTTTCATTGGAATATTGTGTGTGGGAGAGTTGTTCACAAGAATGTTGTTTAGGGGACTTCCCTGGTGGTCCAGTGGCTAAGATTCTGTGCTCCCAGTGCAGGGAAACTGGGTTCGATCCCTGGTGGGGGAAGTAGATCCACATGCCACAAAAAAGATCAAAGATCCCATGTGCCTCAGCTAAGACCCAGTGCAGCCAAACAAATATACATTTTTTTAAAAGATAGTTTGTTTAGCAGAAAGAAGATGGGGTTAAAAGAGCTTAAGAAATATTCGGTAGGATCCCTTTCCCCTTAGAATTGCTGGCAAAATGTACAAATGTATCTTTTTCTGGGGAAAGAATTTATGGCATGGAGGTCTTCACTTCCTCCAAGGGATTGAAAGGTTGTTGCTGTACCACCAAAAAGACGCCGGGATTCTTGGGCTCCGGAGAGAAGAATTCAATCTGGGGCCAGAGATGAGGCTTGATGGCTCAGAGCTTTGTCTACTAGAGCTCCAAGCATCCTTACCTTGTCCTGAAGAATCCCGGACAAGCCCCCAAGATGAAAGGTTGTTGTTGACCCACGAAAAGACACTGGGATTCTTGGCCTCCGGAGGAGAATTCAATCCGGGGCCAGAGACGAGGCTTGATCGCTCAGAGCTTTTGTGTAATAAAGTTTTATTAAAGTACAAAGGAGATAGAGAAAGCTTCTGACACAGGCATCAGAAGGGAGCAGAAAGAGTACCCCCTTGCCAGTGTTAGCCATGGAGTTATATACTCTCTAATTAGTTATTACAGTGAGTCAAAAGAATGTCTGGAGATTGTAAAGACCTCACTAGACCTACTCCCATAATTTACATTTTAAGATAATAGGATTAGCCAGAAGGTTTTTTCCAGAGACTGTCCTCAAGCCGGATACATTATTGTTGTATAATCCTAAGGAATGTAGAGGGAAAAAAATGTGTTCTTTCTTCCTCCTTGAGAATTCCAGACCCCTCTCTCCTTGGGGACCCCTAGACTTCTTATCAGCCTGCGTAGGAAATGACTCTTTCAGGATCTAGATTCAAAAAAAGATGAAGAACTAGTGGTGCTAGGCCAGGAGAAGAGGAGCCGCTAAAGACCCAGCTCAGGGAATGCAACAGAACACAGCAAGAAGACAGCACGAAATGAGGGCAGGAAGTGACCCTGGCATCGTGAGAAACTTGAGGGTGTCAGACACATTAATTAATGGTAGCTACATTATAATAGTTGTACTAATGTCAATTTTATAAAACAAGTGTTTATATTTGTTGTAATATGTGAGACTTTCACCTGTGTGATTAGCACTTTGTTGAGTGAAGGAATTACTCCGAACTCGATGTAGTCAATGGGGAAGGGTCCTAATATAAAAGTATCCGGGAGCTGGTATATAGATGTGACTGGATGCCTGAGCTACCAGCGTGGGAACAGAGGAACTATTGAAGCTAGGTGGAGATTATAATCTCTTTAGCAAGAATGGGCATGCACGGAGAACCTGAGTACCAATCAAAACAAAACTGGGTGTCCAGGATATGGAAACAGTCAGAACACTCCTATTTTTATACCCAAATTTCTCATATCTGTACACTTCCATATTTTATTTAAGAGTTTACAATCTGTTTTTCCAGGCTTCCTCCTTCTATTAAAGGTATTTTTATATCTCTCTTTTGCTTATCATAAACAGTGTAGACTGTTGTTACTTATCTTTTTTTTTTTTTTAATTTTGACTGCGCTGGCTCTTCCTTGCTGAGGCAGCAGATGTGGGTTCAATCCCTAGATTGGGAACTAGGAGCCCACATGCCACAGGGCAGTAAGCCTAAGTGCACATCTATCCAGCTAAGCCCACTGGAATATCAGTCAAAAACAAACACTGGTGTCCAGGATGTTCAGAAAATTCCAGAATGAATGCCAGCAAAAGAAATCTGTCCTCATGAAAAGTCATGCACTTAAAGCAATGCATAAAGAAGCACCAAAAAGACATTTTGAACAAGATTTAATATAGGGATTAAACTATATGCCTCTACTACAAGTTGGCTTGGAAGCTTTTTACCACCCATAGTGACAAGTGTCTGTGTGTGATTGTGCTTGAGGGTCCAAGGCGGGTATTTGTGGGAATCTGCAGGGAGTATTTTCGGTTATCACAGGGTGGGGGTGAGAGGCATGCTACTGGCATTTAATGGGTAGAAAGCATGTCATTTAGACATTCTATGATTTTTTTTTAAAGTTTCATAAAAAGCCCAGGTGTTCAGGAGGTGGTCCTTATGGAGACCCTTCTTAACAGCGTAAAGACACTGTTTCGATCTTAGAAAATAACACTCTGCACTATGTCTACTCAATTAATTATAGTACAGCTCCTTCAAAAATAATGAAACCAGTTGCAAATATCATAGGGTGTTGGAGACTCCTTTTAACAGAGTTAGGAAAAAACCAGTAAATTGACAGAGGCACATGAAATTCAGAGATCTCACTGGATCTCATGAACAAAGGCTGTTTTAAAATGACTATTTCCAAAAATAATAATAATAATAAATAAAATGACTATTTCCAGCCAATATATTTCAACATTTTGGGCACAAAGAGAAACATTGTGAAAGGAGGGTTACTTTTTTTTTCTTTTGTTTTATTCTGATGCCATCCTCAGAGATGCACTCCAACACTGTCCTACAGACTGTTGTAGTACTTCTCTTCTACTTTATCTTTTTCCCATTGCTGATTAAAGGGTAGGGTCTCCGAGGTTGGTTTTGTGCTTTTTTTTTTTAAGTATTAGAGGGTGAATTTATTCATTTAGTGAACTTTCAAGGTAGAAAAGATGTTTCTGTGATAACTTTGTCATCAGCTACATACCCTATTCCATTATAGGAAATTGTTTTGTTTTTTTATAAGCCCAGTTCATTTGTGAGAACACCACATGTTCCTTATTTTCATAGCCAAATTTTTCATATCTGTACACGCCCGTATTTTATTTAAGAGTTTATAATTTGTCTTTCCAGGCTTCCTCCTTCTATTAAAGATATTTCTCTCGTTTGCTTATCATAAACAGTCTAGCCTGTTACTACTTTTTTTGTTTTATTTTTTTCTTTTCTTTTTTTTTTAATTTTTTAAATTTCTTTTCTTTTTTTGTTTTAATTTTGGCTACCTTGAGTCTTCCTTGCCAAGGGTAGGGGACACAGGTTTGATCCCTTGTTGGAAGTTAAGGGTCCACATGCCGCAGGGCAACTAAGCCCATGTGCAGCAACTACTGAGCCTGTTCCCAGTCGGTTCATCCTGTGCTGCTACTGAACCTGTGCTCCACAACAAGAGAACTAGAGAAAGCTGACGTCTCCTGCATTGGAAGGTGGATTCTTAACCACTGGATCACCAGGGAATGCATTTTTCTTCATCTAATGTCCATCTATCTCTCTGCTCTTTGTCTTCCTAGACTTTCGTACTGTGTAACTCTCTTAAAATGCAAACTTATGTTCATTATCAGTATCTTATCTGCAAAGAGGAAGAAGGAAGGTAATGAGGTTGGGAGCTTCAGCGTAAGAAAGGGCTTGGGTCGCAGGGGGAATGCAATTGAGGGTTGACAATGGAATTGTAAAAGGACAATCAGTGGAATTGGACAGCATGACTTAGTACTGGAGATGGTCACCGTGGTTCCCCAACTCTCCCCAACAATGTGGGCTGCCCAGAGCAGAGAAAACAAAAATAATGGGGGCCAGGGCTGATGACAGGCCTGGTGAAGCTGGTCCTGTCACTCTTCTGCTTAGAATCCTTCAAAGGCTTTCCACTCCTCAAATGACCATCACGAGTCTCCGCTGTCTGGCATTGCCCATCTCTTTGGCCTCTTCCTGTTCCATTCTCCGCATGGCTGTCAAAGTCCCCTACCCTGGCCAAGTGCTTCATCCTCTGGCTTTTGCATACACTCTTCCTTTTATCTGTCATCTCCTATTCACAGCTCCACCCTTTGCTTCAGCTTAAAAGTCTTCAGAGAAGCCTCTCCTGATCCTCAAATCCAATCAGAGCACTCCATCGTCTTTCACCATATGCTTTGCTTGTCTTGCATGTAACTATTACAATTCTTGATTGTGATACCTGGAAACAGTTCCATGGAGGCAGGTATTTGGTTTATTTTGTTGACGGCTAGATTTTCAGTAACTGGCCTAGTGCCTATTGCCAGCAGGAACATTCATTCACTCTTTCAATAAGTTCACTGAATGAATGGCAGGAAGAATTATGGGACCTGGGGCACATTTTTTGTTAGTTTTTAACTACATCCCCACTTTCTCTTTTGTGAATTGCAGATAATAACTACCAACCTCTGAACTGCCATGTAGATTAAAAGATGATGTATTATATATACATGGCATGGGCTTTCCAGGTGAGTCAGTGTTAAAGAATCCCTCTACCAAGCAGGAGACATGGGTTTGATCCCTGGGTTGGGAAGACCCCCTGGAGAAGGAAATGGCAACCCACTCCAGTAGTCTTCCCTGGGAAATCCCATGGACAGAAGAGCCTGGTGGGCTACAGTCCATGGAGTCTCAAAAGGTCGGGCATGACTTAGCGGTTACATAGCAGTAGCACACTTATCATGGTGCCTGGCAAATAGTAAGGACTAGGAAATGTGAGTTATTACAATCATCATTAAAAATAAGCTCTATGAGCAACCAGAACTCTCATCCATTGCTGGTAGGAATGCAAAAATGATAACAGCCCACTTAGGAAAACAGCTGGCCAGTTTCTTATAAAGTTAAAAATACAGGCTTACTATGCAACCCAGCAATACCACTTCTAGGTTATTTACCCAAGTGAAATGAAAACTTATATTCATGCAAAATCCTGCTTTATTCATAATCGCCCCAAATTAGGAACAACCCCAGTGTCTTTCAACCAGAGAATAAAGAAACTGTGGTGTATCAGAGACTGGATTACCACTCAGCAAGAAGAAATAAACTACCGACACATGCAACAATGTGGATGAAATGGAAATGCATCATGTTAGTGTGAAAGAAACAGACTCAAAAGGTGACATATTGTATGATTCCATTTATATGACATTCTGCAAAAGTTAAACTATAGGGACAGAAATCTGGCCAGTGGTTGCCAGGGGAGTAGGTGGGGCATGAGAGAATGTGGGATGGGGTGGGGTGGTGGTGATGGAACTGTTTTGGATTTGATTATGATGGTGGGTACATGATGATATGCATTCATTAAAACTCATGGCATTCTAAACTAAATGGATGGACTTTATATATATATATATATTTCTTACTGTATATAAAAAATGAAAAACATCCAAGAGATAGATATAATTATCATTTCCTTTTAAAAAATATACTTCTGATTTATAAAAGTGTTACAGGTTCACAGACAATTTGGGAAAATCTGCAAAGAATACGTTGAATCGCCTGCAGAAAAGGAGTATTATCATTTTTATAGACACAAAATACACACACAAACTGGGTTCATGCTGTGTATTTTTGCTTTCTGATATTATCAGTGTTTTCCCATGTCATTAAATTTCAAAACCATGATTTTGAGTCAATAATATTCTAGCATATAACTGATTTATATGTTTATGTCTTCCTTTACTACATTTTGATTATTGAAAAAAGCTCACTGGGGCCAGGGACTCTGGTTTCACATTGGGGCCATCTTGGTTTCACAATGTTTAACAGGTAAAACAACTCGCCCTTTGGCTGCCATGATATCATTGTGGCTGGAGGAAAAGTGGTTCCACAGGGTGACTTTGCTTTTTCCTCTGCGGTGCAGAGGGCTGGATACCCTCTTACTAACCTGTGTTACTAGGTTACTAGCTTAAATTTGCATAGTGCTTTTAATATTTCTCTCTCTCCACCTCCTTGCCGGGTAGGCCGGGTCGATGGAGTAATTTGTTCAAGATTACACAGCTCATCATTCGCGGACTGTGACTTAGACTCTAGATATTCAAGAGTCCCAGAAAGTCAATATTTCCCCAGGGTGGGTCACTGCCTAATCGTTGACTCTCCTCTCCTGTCCCCTTCAAGAAGGAAGCTGCAGACACACCTTGAAAACTGCCCAGAGGCTTGGCACACGGGGGACTAATACCAAGTGGACGCTGTTCCATCCTACAAATTGTCCTTGGCAACATCGCCACTTACCAGCTGGGGTCATTTCTACCCCGATGGCTGGGGGGACACCTGGTGCCACTGAGCAAGGGGCCCCTGAGAGCAGATGGATCGTCCGCCTCGAGGCCCGAGAGGGTTAATGTCATTCGATCGCGACGCTGCCGGGGCGCACCCTCAATCAGGGAGGAGCGGGTGGTCCTGCCCGGCCTTTCCCAGCGCCAGGGCCCGAGTATGGGGGCGCCTTCTGAGAGGCGAAGCGGGTCCCCATCATCTTAAGGATAGGTAGGGGCCGCCGAACTACAGGGCTGCTCGGGGAGGCTCTCGGGAGGCGCTAGGAATGCCTCCTCCAGGCGACCAGAGGTCAGTCCTCCGCTATCCCAGAGTGCCTCGGATTCCGGAAGTGCTCTGCTTCCCGGAAGTGCCCGATTGGCTGACAGAGCCCAGACTCGCCGGATCGCTGCAGCTTGAGCGTTTCTGTCCTCCGGCGTGAGTGGCCTCAGGAGGTGCGGCTCTGGGTCCGGGTGGGCGTCGGGAGGGGGCTGGGCGGCAGGATGATGGAGGAGGAGGAACTGGAGTTCGTAGAAGAGCTGGAAGCCGTGCTGCAGCTCACGCCCGACGTGCAGCTCGCCATCGAGCAGGTGAGCGTTCCGCCCCCCGAGGGGAGGAGAGTGCGGAGACTGGGGCAGCTCTGGGGGTGGGACGGCGAGGAAGATGTCTTCGGACTGAGACATGGGAGCTAGGCGCCAAGGGCAAGGAAAGGTTTTGAGGGGAGTTGGTGGTGAGAATGGGTTTCTCAATCTAGAAAAGGGAGAGAGGTCTTCCTCGGCCTTGATTGACTTTGGAGGGTGGGGCGTTCTGGTGGGTTTGGGCAAAGGAGCTGTGCCTCCTGAAACGATGCACCTAGAAGGGACCTCGTGGGTAGCAACCTCCGGTTTAGGGGTTGTGGGGCTGTTCATTCATCAGGTTGGTGTCCCGATGTTCCCGGATTCTCCGTCTAGCCCCATGTGACTGACTCAGAATTGAGGGGAGGTGAGTAACCTCTGCTTTTGAACCATATCGCAAAGCAGAGGGGAAACGGCTAAAATAGAGAGAGAGACCTCCTTTACCATTCTTAAATGGTTGAAAATTTCTGCTGGTGATTAGGTTAAAGAATATTCCTCAGGCAACTAAGCCTCTGCACCACAACTACTGAACCCATGCGCTGCAGCTACTGAAACCCAGTACCTGGAGCCCATGTTCTGCAAGAAGAGAAGCCACTGCAATGAGAAGCCCTCACACTGCCACGAAGAATAGCCCCAGCTCACCACAACTCGAGAAAGCCCATGCATAGCAACAACAACCAAAAATAAATCTTTAAAAAAAAAAAAAAAGGCAATTTAGACCCTTTTCTCCAGATAAAGGGAGAAAAATCTCCCTTAAAGGAGTTGGTGTAGCGGATTTAAGAAAAGAAGGGGTGTGCAATAGTTTATGATCACGGGAACTTTTTTAAAGTAAAACATTACTACTTCTGTTACTTATAGTTAATACTTATTGAGCATTAATACTATGATTGTAATTTGTTTGTGTTGTCCCACTTACCTCTTGGATATGTGTTTTTCTTGGAGTGGTTGGATTACTCACACAAAGCACATTTGATACATCCTGGGAATGCCAGGGCAAACAGGTTTGGGTGTTCAAGCCACACTGCTCCCCACCCACCTCCATCAGCCAGAAAGAGAAATACATCTCATTTGTTTTGGACCTACAGGCCTCCAACAGAAGAAATGAATAATGCAGCCCGTTGTTAGATGAGGGTTTTAGACCCCCCCCCCCGCCCCCTTTTCTTAGTGTGATTGAATTCTAGCATAGATTTGTCCAATAAGCAGACATGTAAAAAAAAATTCACTTCCCAGAATAACTGCCTTGAGCTAGTGAAATCCAGTGCCCAGGGATTACTTGACTGTTTTTATAATCCACCGTGTTACATGTTCTTCAGATTGCAATGTTTTAAGGGAGTTATCTATATTTCTCTGAATACAGAGGTATTCTTTCTCCTATAAAAGAGATGGACAGTTCCTGAATGCCAGAGCTCCATTTCCTAACACTGTCCGAAGGATAAAAATTGCTTCGGTGCATAGTGAATTCTACTGCTGAGACATCGTTGAGACATGATGCATTAGTCCATTATCAAGATTCCCTTAATACAACCATGTCATCAACTGGCTTAATCTGCTGGTGTATAATACTCGCTTATTTTACCTTGTCCTTGGGATTTTGCGGCTGTCTGAATACTTCCTACTGTTGCACATTCTATTAGTTTTACCAAGATGTTAAAACTACAGATGTTGGTGCAAATTATAGATATACTTTACCAGATATTTTACTGAGCATTGGTTGTTGAACCTTGCAAAATGAAAAAAAGATACAGTCTTTGCTTTCAAAGAACTTACCAACCAATAGGAAGGAAAGAATACATAAAGCAGGACAGGAAGATGATGGTGATTTTTTAATTCTCTCTCTTTATGTAGGTATTTCCAAGCCAGGATCCTCTAGATCGAGCAGATTTCAATGCTGTGGAGTATATCAACACCCTGTTCCCAACAGAACAAGTAAGTGCTACATTCCCTTGAAATGGCTTCTGGAACATTCTGAGTATTAATGATTAGTTTGTTACACTATATAACCTAAGGGACCTTGATAAACAAATAAGAGTTAAATTCAAGTCAGACTCTTTCATAACCAGTTTTGGGAGGCGGTTAGCTAATACCAAATACTGTTGTTGTGTCAGTGGAATTCTCCATGTAGCGAGCATATTAGAAATTGTACCCTTAGGTTGAAAGAGTCCATCTCGTTCCCTGCTCCCCCAGATTTTCTGTAGTAAATCGGGAAGTAGAAAGGATTTTTCAGATGTAATAGGAGAAAATGGGAGTGAGGTGTGTAGGATAAGCTTGGAGTTAGAAAGCTACTTTTATTCCTGTTTCAAGATGTAAATTTCAGAACTTTGATTTCCAGCCCATCAGACTGTAGTTGGGTGTTGGCACCTTTATCCTGTGTTGTGAGTAAGGAGGAAGAGCCTTACTTATACCACTGACAGTTGTAGTGGTGAGTAGGATAGGAGTAGTGTGTTAAGGTGAACTCAGTTTTGGACATATTTGGGCCATCCAGGTAGAAATACATAGTTGGATATTTGAGTCTGAAGCTCATAATCCCCATAACTGTTAGTATTTTGGCATAGATCTTTCCATACTTTTTCTGATGAACATGCTAATTTTTAAAATAAAGTTGGAAAAAATGGTATCATACTGTGTGATTGTCCTTTTTGAGATTTCTAAAGCAGCCTTTAGAGCTCTTTTTTGGAGGGGTTGGCAGCAGAGGGGAGCTGCGCTATGTGGCTTGTGGGATCTTAGTTCCCTGGGCCCCAGCAGTGAAAGTACCAAGTTCCAACCACTGGACCATCAGGGAATTCCCTAGAGTTCATAATTTTCTCATGAAAGAGGAATTCTAGGAATTAGCTGGAGATGGAAATTTGGAATCAAGTAGGTATAATTTGGAAAACTCAGCAATGTCCACAGGACTGGAAAAGTTCAGTTTTCATTCCAATCCCAAAGAAAGGCAATGCCAAGGAATGCTCAAACTACTGCACAATTGCTATCATCTCACATGCTAGTAAAGTAATGCTCAAAATTGCTGAAGCCAGGCTTCAGCAATACATGAACCGTGAACTTCCATATGCTCAAGCTGGTTTTAGAAAAGGCAGAGATCAAATTGCCAACATCTGCTGGATCATTGAAAAAGCAAGAGTTCCAGAAAAACATCTATTTCTGCTTTATTGACTATGCCAAAGCCTTTGACTGTGTGGATCACAATAAACTGTGGAAAATTCTGAAAGAGATGGGAATACCAGACCACCTGACCCACCTCTTGAGAAACCTATATGCAGGTCAGGAAGCAACAGTTAGAACTGGACATGGAACAACAGACTGGTTCCAAATAGGAAAAGGAGTACNCATTGGAAAAGACCCTGATGCTGGGAGGGATTGGGGGCAGGAGGAGAAGGGGACGACAGAGGATGAGATGGCTGGATGGAATCACCAACTCGATGGACATGAGTTTGAGTAAACTCCGGGAGTTGGTGATGGACAGGGA